ATATTACAAGAATAAAGTCATGATATTACAAGAATAAAGTCATGCTATTACAAGAATAAAGTTATATTACAAGAATAAAGTCATGCTATTACAAGAATAAAGTCATGTTATTATAAGAATAAAGTTATATTATTACCAGAATGAAGTCTTAATATCATGACTTTAATCTTTCAAATAAAATAAAACAATGGTTGTGTGACTGTGATTAATACTGATAGAAACCTTAAATAAAACATCTTAAAATGAGCTATATTGTGAGAACTTCAGCTGTCTTCTGTGGTTTCAGCTGCTTCGCTCTCAGAGCGAGGATCGCTCCACCTCTCTGACCTCCGACCTCTCCCAGCTCCAGGACCTCCTGTCCAGAAGCCGACAGGAGTCCTCCTCCTTCCTCCTGGCCTGCGCCCTCCTGTGCGGAGCTCTGAGACACGCCCACCGCTGCTTGGGCGCGCTCCGCCAGCAGAAGCTGCTCCTGTCCAGGCGGCTGGAGGACAGGGAGCTGCTGGAGGACCAGGTCAGGAGCTTAGCTGATGCACTTAGAGGAGAGGAGGAGGAGGAGGGAGGAGGAAGGGGGGCGTTGAGGAGGTGGAGGAGGAGCGTGTATGCGGTGGTGGCGATGAAGAGGTGGTGCTCTCTGAGCAGGAAGACCAGGGTGCTGTTTCACCTGGACCGAGGAGGAGGCAGGGTCTGCGTGTGTGGAGACCCTCCTACGGCAACACAGAAGGGTCAAAGTGATCCGTCAGAAGCTGGTACACCTCAGCACGACACTTTCCCACTGATGTTTCATGTCYGACAGGAACATTTAAAGGTGTTTGTGTTGTAGATGAAGCAGCTGAAGGTGTGTGTGCTCGCTGGCTTCACTCCAACCGTCTCTCCTCCATCATTCTGTCCTCCATGTCTGACCTGCAGGGGGCGCTCACCAACTCTGGTAACCACTCACATTAATGCTGAAACAGCTGCATGAACGCTGAAGAAAGCTAATATCAGCTAAAAGCTAAAAGTCTCTCTGACTCTTTAGGCTCCTCGGCTCCAGACGTGACCTCAGCTGCTCGTTTAGGTTTGTCCCRCCTCCTGGATCACCTGCTGGACCAATCAGCTTCCAGCATTTCCTCTGGAAGAGAGGAGGACACGCTGATGAGACGGACGTCCCCACAGTCCAACTCAAAGGTACCTCAGCCTGAGGGACGGTGTTCACCTGTCCGCTTGTTTCACCTGCTCACCTCAGTGTGTGTGTGTGTGTGTGTGTGTG